CAAAATGGGTAATATCCAATTTCGAAAGTTGTCATCAACACCAGTCTTATCTTAAAAAAAGAAAAAATGTTGTCGTCTACTACTCTACAGTCCACACAGTGCGATGATAAATATAGAAATGGTACAACCAGACCTAAAAAGCCACTTTCAACGGTGGAAGTCAAATTACATTCCGATTTTACCCTTTCCTTTGCTTGCCCCCTTCAACGACGTTACCGTGATCGCCACACCCAACGGCGCCGCACCCACCTCAACGTCGAATGAATCGAACCGCCGGAAAAGTTCCACCAAGAAAAGTCTTGACACGAGTACCACGAAATCCTTCCCCGCACACTGTTTATTTCCCAACGTGGGATTCTCGGTTTCTGGCCCATTCGACCATAGGACATGCTTTAACAATCTCTCTCCATCATCTCCGACGAAACGATCTCCGACAAACTCTTCTGGTCTGTCGAATATTTTCGGGTCCTTTGTCGCAAAGGGTTGGTAGCCGAATAGAAGCTCCCCTTCCTTCACTTCAAACAAGGCGTCGTGACTCTCGATCAACAAGTCCCGCTTCGCCCTCCCGTACTGCAGCGGCACCGCCGGTTCAATGCGGAGCGCTTCGTACACGACTGATTTCATCAACGGCATCTGTTCCATGCCCGCCATCGTTACTTTCCCGCCGTTTGATTTGATCGCCGATCTGATCTCCTGCGCCAGCTCCACCTGGAGCTTCACCCCTGCTTTGCCGATCAACTTCATCATATTGGAGAAGAGGATCCTCATCCCGCCGAAAAAATTAAAGCACGTGGCGAATAAGAGATTGTGGCACCCTTCTTCTCGCGAGATGCCCAATTTCTCGGCTTCATCTAGAACGAATCCGGACGACTCGTAGAAGAAATCGTAGAGCCGCTGGTAATCGGATTGCACGAGTAAAGCAGGAAGACGAAAAGTATGGATGAGGAGTTCTTCGAGAACTTTCGGGAGGCCGAGGGTGAGTAGAGGACCGAGTTGAAACACTACCCACTTGCCAAACAACTTCGGCCCGTCAAGCCCGAGTTTTGTATCGGCCGGGTTAGAACCGTATAGGGCCCGAGCCAAAAAGTTGAAGGCGGCTTGATCATTGACTTGCTGAAAACTTGCCTTGCCTCTCCCGGCGAGTTCTTTCTCGAGCGTGTCAAATAACTCGCCATAGCTGGTCTCGAACGCCGGGATCACGTGATCGCGACGTGACTTGAGGAGGAAGAACATGAGTTCTTTCAGCTTGGCATGGCCCGGTTCGGAGGGATCAAGATACGAGAGGACTCGGTAGCCGCCAGTGAGTTCGACGGACGGCATGAAGGTTCCGGTGAAGAGATCTTTCTTTTCCACTTTTGTTAAATCAAAGAGGACAGGGAAACTCTTACCGTCGAGCAAAGCGATGACCTTTGGATTAGGTGCAATGAAAGGGCCAGGCGGCATGTTGGTTCGGAACACCGTTGACTGGTGCTTTTGCATTCTTGACTTGAAATACTCGTTTCGGCCTTGGTTGTAGAAGTAATCAAGTCGATCCTTGATTGGGCCGAAAAAGGGGACTCCATAATCACCAGGAATTTCCCGTAGCGGAAGCTTCTTCTTGGCGTCAGGTTCAGGAACCGTGATCGGCTGCGGCCTCTCAGACACGGAGGCGATGATCGGACGAAATCTAACCGGAGGTCTGTATGTCGTCTTGGACGTGGAAGACAGCAACACAGGGTTTTTGGATGATGAAAGCTGTGTTTGAAGAGAAGGGAAAGGAAGCAGAGAAGAGGTTGCCATTAGAGATGGCGCAATGGATTATTTGCCTTTGGTGGGCTTTTCGTTCCTCACTTTTTGTTGCCTAAAAAAGGGTTGGGAATATAGAAAGGCTGATGGGTGAATTGGAAAAGTGATGCTGATTGGCTGATTGCTGGTAGCTAAAGCTGCAGGCTTTATTTATTTATTTATTTTTTGGTAAATGGGGATGATATCATTAAACCAACACAGAATACACTAATTGTTCCTAGAAAATTCATAGGGTTAAGGCCATCTATCGTCCCTCTACTATCCGAAATAGTGCATTCTAAACCTTCTACTATGAATTGGCTTCATGTCGTCCCTCTACGATGTAAAAGCATGCACCTGTCGTTCCTCCGTCCAATTAAGCTAACGGCTGTGTTTGTTGACTGTTAAGTGCCAACAGTCACACCCGGTTAGGCCCTTTTTTTTTTTTTGCCACCTTGCTTTGTGGGTCCCACCCTAGTGCGTCCAATTACCCTTAATATCGATTTCTGTAAAAAACAAGAATGAGTAAATTTAGTACTTAAATAATGTAGAAAATCAATGAAAAGCTTATAAGGTGGTGAACTAAAAGGTTCTACTTCAACTTTCTAATTAATGGAAAGTTGATTTCAAGGTATTTATTAGTTAAATAATTTATATATATTAGCCATGATATAATGATCAACTAAAGAGGAATTACCAGATAGGAATTACTAGATAGACGATCTTCAATGTGTGAGACTAAAGGGAAAAAAAACAAAAATGATCTTCAATAAAATATTGAATGGATGGCAAAATAAATAAATAATAAATATTGCACCTTTGGGCAGATTCTACCCTTCCTCACATAAAAATGTTTATTTGTTTATTTATTTATTTGATGAAGCTCACATAAAAATGTTGGTTTTTTCATTTTTTTTTTAAATTTTTCTCCTTTTACTATCAATTGTTTCTCCCATTGCAACTTTATGTTTAAAGGTTCTCCACTTCAATATGTGTTGCTTTATGGAAGGCAATATTAGGTATGGTAAAAGTTTAGTTATTGAGGATTGATAGACCCTTATGCTTAAATGATTAAAAGGCTAGAATACATGCCCTCATTATTTGCATAATTGATTTCCAGGTTTTAACCCCTTGAAATTTCTTTTGTAATATACTTTCTCCAAAAGCTTCTTAACCTTTTCCATTCTCCCTGAAGGTGCTTACACGATTTTAATTAGGTAATTTCAGGTCCAAATTCAAATTTATACTAATAGTAGAGGCTTACTTTCAAAAGGAATACCAAAGATACACCAAAGATTTTCCATTCTCCAGATTATTTTTATAAGTAGATAAGTTAATTTCATTTTGAAGGATTTTTTAATATTTTCTTTCACACATTGCACTCTATACACATACTTTAACAGTGGATTTTGACTCAAATTAAAAATTAAGAAAAGATGACATATTTACCTTAGATATGTTCTTAATTGAATTCAATCAAATTCCATAAATATATTTATTAATTTTCTTTCGTGCTTTTTTTCTCTGTTCATATTTCTTCTTTGCTGCAGTAGGAAGGAAAATGAGAAAGATGGACAAGGATAATTCTTTATTCCCCTTTATTCACTAGAGATATGCAGGATCAATTTCCTAATTGAAATGGTAACATTTTCTTAATCATCTACATCCAAATTTTGTTATATATTCTATCACATGTAATTGACACCTCAAACTACATAGATGTAAATGGGGCATGTTTAACCTTTTTCAACATGCTGTACCTATATGATAGACCTTCTCTAGGTAAGGGTTTCAATAAATTCTAATACATACATAATATATAAAAGCTTAGAACATGTTACGTCCACTTTTCAATGAAATTAAACTTTTGAGAAAGATGATATTACACAACGGTTGTTCATAAGTTTGAGTTAAGAGATTTAAAGATTTAGAAAGGAGACTGAATAAGGACATGTGCTTAGCTATTTGCACATAATTATTAACATTAATATAACTTCATTTCATCCAATGTTACTTTTTGTTTTTATTTGTGGTCATAATTTGCTTTCAAATACATAGTGATTGAATCACACAACACAATACTTTGATATATAAATACAAGATATAATCAAAAGATCCGAAACCCACACATAGCCAAATCACTGAAAGGAAATTAGCAAAAAATGGTGTATCCTAAAGTAGATGTTAAAACAGTGTTGGATGAACTTGATACTAAGTTCTTAGTTTTCTGTGAAAAAATTTAGCATTCTGTACATGATGTTGCTTTTGATACCCAGATATCTCTTTAACATTGCACTTTCCATTTATTTAAAAAAAAAAAAAAGGCTCAAGTGAAATATCTAATCCAAAATTGCATTTATTTTATATGTAATATAGAAACTTGAGAATTTTTGGAGGCAAAATAAATAGAAAATGGGGTTGAGTTCCCGCCCACCTACAGGATCCACGTTGGGGAGGCAGCAGGAAGTCTCGACAAAGGCAAAAAAAATTTGTGAGAGATGAGGTGGGGCCCACAAGACAAGGTGGCAAAAAAAAAAATAAAAAAGGGCCTAACCAAGTGTGACCGTTTGCACTTAATGGTCAATAAACAGGACCGTTAGCTTAATTGGACGGAGGGACGACAAGTGCATGCTTTTACATTGTAGAGGGATGACAAGTGCATGCTTTTATATTGTAGAGGGACGACATGAAGTCAATTCATAGTAGAAGGTTTAGAATGCACTATTTTGGATAGTAGAGGGACGATAGATGGCCTTAACCCAAATTCATATCCAGAATATCCAGAATACATAAAAATTTGACATTAACGGGACAGTGAGGAAGACCAACAAAATCCTGCTGTAGTGAATGTCCCATTCTAGCAATTTGATCAGCAGTCATGTTCGATTGACGCTTGATATGAGATATCTGAACATAGGGGATGAGCTGCAGGCTTTATTTTATAGGTGGAACTGGGGAAACATGAGTGAGTTGGGGTGGGGGTTGACGCAACGTATAAATAGTGCACACTTGTCAAGTCCTGAAAGGATTAGAAGTTCTTTTCGTTTTGGTGCCTCTGTAACGCTGAAAATGGTTGAATAACCAAAGAATTATGCTACAATTGTTTTTTTTTTTTTTGGGTAAATATTATGCTACAATTGTTAATTTACTGTAATAATTTACAAAACCTATAGGGAAATGTAAAATTCTTTCATTTCATCACTAATATTATGTTTAGA